CGTGAATACCGAACGTGTCCGGTATCAATACCGGACGTGTCCGGTATTTGGGCCTACGCTGTATTTGTTTATTCACTGCTCTAACTTAGTGTTGTAGGGTTGTAGCTTCTAGATATATTCTGTATACCTTGTATTCTCTATTGGCTAACTCGTTAGGGGTTTATTTCTCTAATTTGGAGTTTCCAATGGAAACTCCAACACTAATCGTTTCCGCATTTTAAAGGGTTGAATTTTTAGAATTGCCTATTCACCCTCCCTCTAGGCGGCATCCTCGGTCCTTTCATGAACTATGCTTTTTCTCGAGAAAAACTTCCAAAACTCCAAGTTGCTAAAATGTAAAATTGGGAGAGGACTTTGTTTCAAGAACGGTTCCGCTTTTCAATAACCCAAGGAAACATGTTAGCTAAAGCCATATATCCCACTTGTGTAAGGAATGTGTTGGAATAACTTTTATGTAAGTCATATATCTTAGGATGTTATGCTCATGATTACTTTTATCTCTTAGCTTTGCAAGAGGACGAGCAAAGGGGTGAGTGTGGGAGAGCTTGTTGGCAGTGCTTAACTCCTATTTTTAACCGCCAAATTAATCTAAAATGTCAACATTCCATGCTACTTCATAGCAAAACATTATTTTATCTAACAAGTTCCATGAGTTTTGGTGCTATCACTTGTTTTACATGATATACTCAAAATGCGCGTTAAAAGGATATTAAATAGTACATATACAGCTCAGCAGGAATTGAAAAAGAAAATATATTCAAATATTAAATGCTGCAATACAGTCTCAAATGAACATTTGAAGCACACCATTGCGTTATTTGCTATATTTAGAGCTCGGAACAAGAGGATACCAATTATCCACGAAAAGAAGACAACTCTACCAGCAGCATGCACGAGTTGAAGAAGCACAGGCGTGCATGCCTGGCACTGAACTGACCACCTTAGATACTCCATTTTCCTCCACCGCCTCTTGCATGCTCCGATGCATGGAAACACACTTTGGGAGCATCACAATCCTCCATCAAATGGCGGTTTGGATCAATGGCTCACAAGCTCCATCACGAGGATCGCTTACGTGGTGCTTCCAGTGGATCCTATTACTCCACCCCTAGTATAAATAGAGGGGCACCCCCTCACTCTGAAGACACAACACACCACCACAAGGAAGAAGAGCACACCTCACTTTAGTTAGAGCAACACTCCAAAAGGGCTTAGGCCCTAGTAACTAGCTAGAGTAGTAAGGGAGATATGTGAGGGGGAGCTCGAGGAAGCGCCAGACTTGTTGATGTCTCCCCGACTTGTACCTCTACGAGCATCTTACTTCAACGGTTTCTCCCGCTAAGTGAGTGTTCGAGTTTTTTATGGTATAAAGTCTTTTTGATTAGTTAAGCTTTACTCTCACTTGTTTGCGGGTTCATCGTCTGCTCTTGTAGCAGATACTTTAGTAGAGAGCCCTGATAAAGATGGATAACCCTACTAGAACGCTAGAGTAGTAGTCGATAGTGTAGACATGGTGTCTAGGCTAGAGGCTACCTTTGTTTGCCTCGTAGTCCACGGTTGAGGGGTAGGCAGCAGGTGGTGATAGCCCTATCCATCCCTTGTAATCCCCCATGTCCGCATAGGGCGTAGAGCTATAGGTCGGGCTCACTTGGCAGACCAGGTGCTACCCGATGCTCGAAGTAAGCAAGTGGAAGTAGCGTTTATCTATTCATTTGACCCTAAAATCATAGGAATCCATCTCTACCCTCAACCAACTCTACCCTTGTGTTGTCCTTGGACGAACCAGCTAGAAGAGATACCTCCATTCCCTGTGAAAAATATGATAACCTGAATACTTTCGGGTGAAAGCTACAACAGTAATTCTGTACGCTTGGGGTTTAACTTCTGTAGACGTTAAGAAATACCAATAGTAACTTTCAGTGAATCAATAGTGCCATGAAACGTCTCTTTTTTGGCCTGTCTGTTTAACTTTCTGGCAACAAAAGTCAAAGCTATGTTTATAGATTTTCAAAACCAAAACTACCTTTTGCCACTTGAATCTGGTCTGGAGGTACTTTATCAAGTATAGAATAATGAAACCTAAAGGCTAAATCAAGAGTCCACTTGAGTTGAGCTTAACTCGAGAACCCCTAATTTGGCAAAGAAGCACTTGTGGGAACAAAAAAAGCTTGAAATGGAGTAAATGAGAGAGGATGCGCAAAGTAAAAAACGAGACCAAAGTAGACATTGCAATGGGGATGGGAATGAATCAAACCTCTAGAATCACCAGCGGCGCTTCAACTATCCTTCAACTCTGGCAACCTTTGGTTTGGATTAAGGTTGGGGTTTAGGTTTGGGGACAACATTTGTGTCCACCAACTTTAAATGGGATGGTCGAGTGTCATTGTCGGCCCAACGGCAGTGGTGTGTGGGCGTAACGGGGCGTGGCGAAGGCGACGCCACTAGGGTGGTAGACTAGTAGTGGAGGCTGGTTGGGGAGCGTTGGTTTCAAGGGGCGTCAAATTTGCAGCAATTAGTGGTGGTGGCGGTGGAGGGCAACATTGACGATGGTAGAGGTGGGGAAGAGTGAGATATGGAAGTGCGGGAAGGTTCTTGCCATCTTCATTCCGATTAGTAGAGAGAGGGATGACATTAGGGCCACGGGAGGGTCAAAGGCGAGGGGCATGTTCTCGTCGGTGCAGGATTGGGCGGGGCGGCGATGGAGGTGGGGCGGCATGAATGGAGGAAGCTCAAGCATGACGGAGAAATCATGAGGAAGACGCACGAGTGGTGTCGGTAGGGATAAGCCTACATACTAGCGGGGCTAGCTTAATAATGATTGGTGGTGGGTTCGAAGGGCGAAATATTGCTCAGTGGGGCACACACACATAGGGGATTACTAGATTCATGCCCTTGTTAGGGTAAAAGCCCTACATCCTCCGTGCAATCAGATTGAACTATTAATCGGTTGCATGTGATGTGATGTATTATGTTAGTATTAGTCCTTCCTTCAACGCATGACACACGATTTGCCTCCAAGCTTATTTATTTATAGCCATGGGACGTGATCCATGTGTACCGGTATATGCAGCACAGATATGAATACACGTATTGATATCGGAAGGATACGGATACGTTTTACTATTTTAATAAAATAAATAATAATGCAAATTAAAATTGTGAAAGTGTAAAATTCGAGTAATCACTAATTATTAGTTTAGTACATACAATCATGTATGATACATCACTAGATCACCTCGTATGTTTCATAGTTTTCACGGGAGATTCAAGTCCAAGTATATTGGATGAATGCAGAAGTATAGAGTACATCAAGAATGAAGGGGGTGTACTCATGAGAGGTCGGTGCAAGCTAGCTTTGCTGCTGAGTGCTGAATCGTCCTGTTCTCTGCATCTCTCCTCTATATCATGCGGGTCCCGCGTCGGCCCGAGCGTCACCAGCATCGAGAAAGAGGGGGAAAGGGCGGCGGATGCCTAGCCGGCGCTGGAGGAGGAAGAGATCGATGCGAGGCGGCAGAAAAGTGAGGAGGGAGATGCAACATCCGATCTATTTTTGAAACATCCAGTTGCAACGCTTGCAACATATGTCTGAAGGCAGATGAAACACTTGAAACATGCATATGAAACACTTGCTGCAACACCGGATCTATTTGTGAAACATCCAGATGAAACACTTGCAACATACGTATGAAAATCGCTGAAACACTTGGAACATACATCTGAAACACTTGCAAAAACATATGCAACATCCAGATGAAACACTTGCAAACATAGTCTTGAAAAACAAATGAAACATTTGTAACATACACTTAATCATACATGTGTAGCCATTGCAACATGTGCAACATCCCGATCTACTTTTGCAACATCAAGATGAAACAATTACAACATCCCGATTAAACATCTGAAATACTTAAAATATACGCTTGCAACATGGGCTTTAAACACAATGCCATCTTGTTGTTTGGATGAATAGATGTTTGTCGTTGTGGAGCTCGACGGCGGCGCATGGAGCTCGTCGTGCGGCAGCGGCGCGGACAACTCGTCGACAGGACGGCTTCACACAAAGCTCACCCCCCTCACCGGCTCACCAGATCGGTGGAGGCGGCCGCGGCGAGCAAGCAGGGCAGTGGAGTGCGTCCACGGCGGGCACGGCCGTGCGTGAGCAGGCAGCACGGTGGAGCGCGACTGGGCAGCACGGTGGAGGCGGACATGAGAGGGTGCGGTGGAGGATTTTATTTTTCGGCAGGGTGCGGACAAGAGGGAGCGAAGACACGATAACGAATGTCGAAGACGCGTCCGTCCGCACGGACGCCCATGTGGAATCATTATGTTCTCATTGGGGTGGGCTGTATCCCACAGGTCGGATAGGTATCAGGTCACATACTCAATATTCCGTTTGCTAAAAAAATCTCAATAATCTGAAAATTAAATAAAATCGGATACCCGCATGATACGTATCGAGGCCGTATCATCAGCGCATCCTATTATGGCAAGTGGCTCCAGCTCCACCACGCGGGAGCAATCCATGCCTCTGTGACTCTGTCACTACTCATTTGTAATCACAACAGGTCAACAGCGCTCTCCTAAAATCTCCACTGACAAGTCGGCCCCTGTCTCCACCGCGCACAACACAGTCCCACTAGTCATGGACACAGAGCCACGCACGGAAAAAAGGACACCAAGTCTCCAACAAACCCCTGCCTGACACGGAGGGCCACCCAACCACGCGCACAAATTGGAAGTCTCTCTCCTCTGTTGCTCATGTTCTCCTCTCTTCTCTCTCGTCTCCAGTCTGCACCTTGGCACCTTCCCCACAACCCCACCACCACGAGTTCCACGGCCAAGTGGCCAACCAATCTCTGCCCCCCCCCCCTCTTCTCCGCATCTTTAAATCCGAGACTTTTTTTTTGTCCGCGTCCTCCTCCGCCCTCAACCGGAGACGCCTCGCTGTCCCGGCCGCCAACACCCCCCTGCTCGCCGTTGCAGCAGCCGCGCAGCCGATGGATCGTGATCGCGAAGAAGGTAAAGCAGCGCCAGCGCGGACCTCGCCGAATTTGGGAGCGATTCTGGCTAACCTGGTTGCCATTGGTGTGCAGTGACCGAGTTCCTGGGGCAGGTGTCCCTCCTCCAGTGCCTCCCGGGTTCCTCCATCCGCAGAATTGCCGAGGCCGTCCAGGTCAGGAACTACGGTACGTACCTGGCGCCACTACTGTGCGTTAGCCGGCTGGATCGATTGGCCGTTTGATCGGTTTCCTGGCTTACTCTGTTTGTCTACGGAAGTACGGTATGCGTGTCAGTTTGTGCTTTCGGAAATTATGTTTAAGTTTCGTCTTAATTGTTTGACCCTTGGTGCCTGCTTAATGTGATCCCATTATATAAGGCTCTACTGGTTAAATAAGTTTTTATTTTTCTGTCATTGAATGTGATGTGGCGTCAAGATGAATGAATCATATTTGGCTCTGATACTGGTACTTTGCAGAGCCTGGTGACTATGTCGCTCGCGAAGGTGAACCTGTTGATGGCCTTTACATCATATTGGATGGTCAGGTAAAATTCATGCAAATTCTTACTTTTGTTGGTTCGATGCATACATGCTAAAGATGTATATGCACTGAACGTTTATTGTGGCGTACCTTTGCACCTCATGGTTACCACCCATCTTCTGAGCTGACGCTTCATTGAATACGCACTGGCGCAAATAAATGTTAACAAAAAAAAAACTTCTATACTTCATTTCCACCCATCTTTGGCATTGATGATTGTTTGACTGGTGCGCAGAACGCTGTAGTACCACTGAAAAATACCCCAACATGGAGATATAACATCAGTAATTGCATACTCATTTGAAACAGGTGGACCATATAATTTAGCCTGGCTGTTCTTTCTAATTGATTCCTAGTAGACTGCAAAAGAACAACTTTTATAACAATGGTTGTTTGTTTTGTTCTTTGGTTGAAAGACTTAGACTTCACTGAGTGAAGAACAGTAACAATGATCTTATGTTCCTGATCTTCCATAGTTTTTCCTGCCCTAACTGTATTACATTATTAATTTGTCATGCTGCTGGTTTCGTACCTTTAACTCATTATTTTGCTTTAATATGTGTTAGTATCAACAAGAAAATATGCTAGAATTAGATGTGCCTTTGATATTTACCATAGTGGGAGTGGGGGCAGAGGCGATTCTATTTTAGCAGTAATACTTTCTGCTACTTGAATGACATACTCACCTCATTATCCTGAAGGCTGAAGTTTCTGCACCTGCGAATGCAGAAGAAGCAAACCGTCCAGACTATGTGTTAAATAAGTACGATTACTTTGGTTATGGTAAGACATTTGCTGTCATGATAATTTGTTTTAATTCTGTTCAAACTCATTCTGCATGAAAAAGATATAAAACAGTGATGTCTTATGTGATTTCAGTTCTTTAATTACTGATGCTTTGCATTATTTTGTAGGAACTAATAGTTCTGTTCATCAAGGAACTGTTGTTGCACTATCAAAGGTGCTTATTTCAAACAGTCCCACTTTTAACTTATCATTTCTTTAGCTATAGGATTCTCTTTTCTTAGTGAACACTTGGTTTATGGCTTTTCCAAATGTGTATAACCATCTCTTGCTTATTGTTGACCCTTCTATTGCAGCTGACCTGTTTCATATTGCCCAATAAATATGGACATTTGTTACAACCAAAAACAATTTGGAATGCGGAGGAAACACCTGAACATTCTTTGCTGGAACAAATTTTGCACTTAGAACCACTAGAGGTAAGTATAATGTAAGACAGTATCTATGATGTTTTATTCCATTGTGCAACAAATGGATTTAAGGCTGGCAGTGGAATCATACCATTCCCATATGAAGACTAACCTTGTGCTTTTAACTCACCGTATACTTTGATTTACATCGCTTAAAATAAACAACTATGAGAGCAGGGATGGCTTTCAGAGATTTGCATGGTTGTATCTTCTTGATTTAATGCTAAAAGGACAAACATGGTAAATATACTGTAATATTTTTGTATTGAATTCCCTTGTCTTGCTCACCGCAATTCTTGTCTGTCTTTTTAGGTCGATATTTTCCGTGGGTTTACTTTGCCAGAAGCTCCAACTTTTAGGCGAGTTTTTGGAGGACAATTCATTGGACAGGCACTTTCCAACCACCCTCGCTTACTTTCTAGATCTGATAACTATATGTATTTGACCACTTCCTTTTACTACTGAATTCTAACTCATCATTTTACTTTCAAGTACAAATTTTTGAATTACTGAGTCAATAGCTAAAAAGAAACTTTTTTAGACATGCTTCCTCTACTTCCCATAAGCGTGCGGGTTGGATTTAAGAGCATCTCATGAAACCAATTATTCAGGAACAAATATACAAATTATATTTCAAATTCTAGTCCTTGTCAGCTTCCTTCAGACATTCCATTATGCCTTATTGTCTTATTTATGATATGACTATCTCCTTCATGATTTATTCACTTGATATGTTGCTAAGGGCCACAGGGTGACAATAAGAAGCTATAAGAAATTATTGCTTAGGTGTCTTTTGAGTACCTGTAGGAAGTTTGAGCCAGAATAATCCCCTTTTTGAGTTCAGTTATGTCAGCTCCCTTGCTGCTGACAGTTGGTATCTTTTGGATAAATGTATTTCTGTATGGTATTGTTAACTCTATGTTTTTTTTCAGTAAAAGCTGGGGATCCTTGTAAAAGGATTTCAGTATGTTGTAACCACTTATGTTTGATGCCATGCAGGCACTAGCAGCAGCATCCAAGACTGTTGATTGTCTAAAAATGGTGCATAGTTTGCATGCGATTTTTCTTGTTGCTGGAGACAATGACAGTATGGTTTCCTAAAGCTATGTGATTTTTTGCCAACGTTAATTTGGTCAATCAAATGTGATCTGAGAACCAGTAATCTGTCAGTTAATTAGCGGGGATGACTCTGAATCACTAGAAGCTTTTAGTTTGGGTTTAGCTGGCGCTTCTATTTTTAGTCTTTTTCGTTTCATGTAATATATCATGATTGAGTTGCGTAACAGTCAGTATTTTAACTCTTGAAACTAATCCACAATTCTGATACCCATACGGCATATTTCTGGCTTTGTAGTAAGCTGGGATACTTAGTGCAATTTCTTTTAATCCAAAAAAGAAGTTTGATGCTCATGGCTGTCTTTGATTTGTCCTCTGGTGTAGTACCAATAATATATCAAGTTCATCGGGCACGTGATGGATCCAGCTTTGCCACAAGAAAAGTGGAGGCAAAGCAGAAGGGCCTAGTTCTATTCACCTTGATTGCTTCTTTCCAGGTGCTTATACTTCTGTAATTATAATATTTGAAACTTCTTTGGACAGATCAAACAATTTATACAAACCTGTAGCAGTTATGATTCTCATTTTTCAATCTTTTGAACTTGAAAAGACCTGTGCCTTGTTCATGCTGAGAATTTGAGTTAGTAGGTAAATTATTATTTTGAACCTTGTATCTCCCAAAACGCTGCATCAAGTCACTGTTCCTTTGGTTACTTTAAATGGTACTGTTGGTCCAAACTGTTATCATACTTAACTTCAGATTAATTGAAAAAAACATGAACTGTTGGATAGAAAATGGCTCCTTGTAGCCCTTGCACACCTAACTAAAATTTATGTTCATTAAACCCTAAACTTTATGGTATATCTTCATCAGCTACCAATCGATATCATCCTTAGTCTCAATAGCTACCAGACAATATCGTTCCTGGTCTCAATTTGATTAGTACAGTTGCTTATGAGCCACGGATAAATTGTTCTGTAGTACAACTGCTAGAATATATACTGCTAGGTTGAAATTTTTAGGACTGCAAAGGTCAGCCTCGTGAAATATGTCAGTGTGAATTTGGTCTGAATATCTGTTCAACTGATTATCTTGCAGAAGGAAGAAGTGGGTTTTGAGCATCAGGCTGCAATCATGCCTGATGTTCCTCCTCCAGAACAGGCAAGGATTTTTCTCTCTTTCCTTTGATATCTGTGGAAGAAAAAAACAGGTATCTAATAAGCAATCAAATGCAGCTCCTTAATCTGGAGGGGCTACGAGAAAAACGGCTTACTGATCCACGCTTCCCACCGTAATTTTTCCGACTTCCTATCATATAGTTCGATGGTTACTAAATTAATGATGTTGTCATCTTATTAATCGGTTTAACCACTAAACCATAGCCTTCACCCTTCAGGATTTACTTGCATTGCGTCATTGAAAACCATTATTTTTCAAATGGATCTACCTTGCTGTTGATGCGACAAGTTGGATAGCACATTTATAATATCAAATATTATTTTTAAGAAAAAAATTTAATATTGTTCATCTCTTTATCATGTGGTACTTGGTAGCCAATTGAATGTTTATTCATCTGCAGCCAATATAGGAACTTGGCAGCTAACAAAAAGTTTACTCCTTGGCCCATAGAAATGAGATTATGTGATGATTCAGCGTCTCAACATAAACCAAGGTATCCACATACATCTTTTTCCCTGAATGCAACCTATTCATTTTTTTTTGTTTTAAGTTATATTAATCCTGCAGATCCTAGTTTCCTCCAAAACAAGATTTTCCCCATTCTATCTTTTTACATTAGTAAAAATAGTTATGATTTAGTAATGTCTGATTTTTTGTCAGCTTAAACTACTGGTTTAGAGCTCGGGGAAAACTTTCAGACGACCAAGCTCTACATAGGTTAGTCATTACATCACCGTACACTATCTTTCATCATTTTCTATAATTGCACATAATGTTATTCTGCAATACTACAGATGTGTTGTAGCATATGCTTCGGATCTACTATATTCTCCTGTGAGCCGTCACCCTCATCTGGCGAAGTGTTTGGAGATACACGTGCTCAGTCTCAATCATTCGTATGTAACATTCACTCAGTATAGTGCTTCCGATCATCATCACTTTTACCAAATTTTTGTTTGTCCTTACGGCTGCCTGTTACTGTCTGTAGCATCTGGTTCCACAAACCTGTAAAGGCTGACAAATGGTTGCTGTATGTGGTAAGCGATTGACCAATTGTACATCTGCTCATCGATACAGATGAGCCCATGCGAGATACTAATGTACACATTGCTCCCGTGAACAGATCGAGAGCCCATCTGCGCACGGTGGTCGAGGTTTCGTCACTGGACGCATGTTCAACAGGCAAGGAGAGGTATGGATTCGTCTGAGCTCTGATTCTGCTTCTGCACCTGTTCGTGAGAGTTGGGACCCAAGTAATTATATTTTCTTCTGGAATGCGCAGCTTATCATGTCGCTGACCCAAGAGGCGTTGATTAGAAGGGAGAAGCCACGAGGATCAAATCCGAGGCCAAAGATTTGAGAGATGCACCATCCTTTCTTCTGATTTCGTTTAGATATTTACGAATTCACAAGCAAAAATGTACAATATCAACCGTGGAGCAGCTTCACCGAAAACCTGCACCCATTTATTCGCAAAAAAAAAAAAAAAAAATGCACCCATTTAGGTGTTCTCTTAGCTCTACTTTTTTTTTTCTTGGAGCAAAGTTTGTAAAATTACACCTATTTGGTTTAAAAACATGGAGCGAGGCAGTCAAACATGCCCTTGGTGCTCGCACCTTTCTCTTTGTGCTCACGCCTTTCTCTTTCACGAGTATAATGCGTGGTTACATCCGAAGTACTTTTTTTTATATGAAAAGGGGGAAGGAAAACAATATTTGATTGTGCAATATATATACTCAATAGATGTGCAGTGGCGGTCACAGGTAACTTTCGGTGAATCAATAGTGCCAAGCAACGTCTGATTTTTTGGCCTGTTTGATTGACTTTCTGACATCAGAAGTCAAAGCAATGTTTATAGATTTTTTCAGATCCAAAACTACCTCTGCCACTTAAATCTAGTCTGGAGGTACTTTATCATCAAGTCAAGTATATAACGATGATACCTAAAGGCTAAACCATGAGGCCTCTTGCTTAACTTGAGAACCCTTGATTTGGCAAAGAAGCACTGTCGGAACCAAAACAAATCCTTGAAATGGAGTAAATGAGAGAGGATGAGCAAAGTAAGAAATGAGACCAAAGAAGTAGAAATTGCAATGGGACGGGAACGAATCAATCCTCCAGAATCACCAGCAGCACTTCAACTATCCTTCAACTTTGGCAACCTTTGGTTTGGAAGGCTGGGGTTAGGGTTTGGGTTTGGGGAGAACATTTGTGTTCACCTGACTTTAAATGGGATGGTCAGAGTGTCATTGCGCCCGACGGCAGTGGTGTGTGGGCATAATAGGAAGTGGCGAAGGCAACGCCACTAGGGTGGTAGTGGAGGCTAGATGGGGAGCGTTGGTTTGAAGGTGCGTCAGATTTGCAACAATTAGCGGGGGTGGCGGTGGAGGGCAACAATGACGGTGGCCGAGGTGGGGAAGAGTGAGATATGGAAGCGAGGGAGGGTTCTTGCCATCTTCATACCGGTTAGTAGAGAGGGCTAACATTGGGCCACGGGAGGGTCAAAGGCGAGAGGCATGTTCTCGCTGGTGCCGAATTGGGAGGTGCAATGATGGAGGTAGGGTAGTGTGAAAGGAGGAAGCACAAGTAGGACGGAGAAATCGCGAGGAAGACACGAGTGGTGTCAGTGGAGATACGTCAACATACTAGTGGGTAGCTTAATGTTTGGTGGGTTTGAAGGGCGAAATATTGCTCAGAGGGCGGGCACACACACATAGGGGATTACTAGCAGCCTGTTCGCTTGGTCGTATTTAACGAATAATATTTTTCTCTCACATCAAACTAGCCAGCAGTACTTTCAGCTATACCTTATAAGCTAAACCAGCCCAAACGAACAGAGCGTAAGTTCATGCCCTGTTAGGGTAAAGGCCCTACATTCTACTCCCTCCGTTTCAAATTATAAGATGTTTTAGCTTTTCTATATACGTTGCTTTCACTATACATCTAGACATTATGTATATCTAAGTGCGTAGCAAAAATCATGAATTTAGAAAAGCCAAAACCTCTTGTAATTTGGAACGGATTGAGTAGCTGAGTCGGAGATACATGCGTGTATTAGGCATCGAATTGTAGAGAGTTTACACGGGCAGGGGGCTGGCCTTTGGCCTTTACACATAGGGGAGCTCCAGCCTCCCACCACAGGTCACACCACGACGTGTCAAACTCTACAGACTACAGCTTCCTTTCAAACACAGGATTGGCATTAACATTCAGATTCGTTGACTTCTCACACCGAGCAATGGTTTCATTTATTTTTTGAAGTACCTTCGGCAGATCTGCAATATTAGCTTCAGTCTTAGATTTGAGGATGTTTACTTTCTCACGCTCCTGGTCATCTTCAGCAACTGATGTTTCCGAGAGAACTGCAACTTCTGCAATATACATGGACATATTAGAAGCAACAACAATAAAGACTTTAAGTCCCAAACAAGTTGGGGTAGGCTAGAGTTGTAACATATTAGCAAATATTAATGAAATAAATAAAGAACTCAACGTATGCCGAGCTTCAGAAACATCAGTTATCCTGAAAATGTTGGCGTTTTTATTTCTGAAATTAACAGACCAATACAAGCGACTTGTGGCAAACTAGCAACAGCAGATGTACAAGACTAGGCATTTTTAAAATTTTGATAGGTAGTTGAACTGTGTAAGCATAACTTGTTACATTAAGATAATATAACTTCGAAATTACTCCCCCCGTCCTAAGTCACTTTGGTTTTGTCCTAAGTCAAACTTACGTAACTTTGACAATATTTTTGAAAAAATAGTAACATCTACAGAGCTTAAACAAATGCAATATCAAAATATATTTCATGGAGAATTTAATGGGACTAATATGATGACGTAGATCAGGGGTGGATCCACCAGTATGGCGAGCTCTGGTGGCCGCCAGAGCTCCCTGCCGGTGAGCACCCCACCCCGGTGTGCCTCTGCCCTATGCCTGGCCATGTCCGACTTCTGTTTTTGTGATGAACGGACAGAAACAATGAATAGCGATGTTTCTGCGGACGAGTGAACGGTTGGACCGTGGCTAGGCCTAGAAGGCAGAGTACTGGAGCCCAAGCGAAAGGCGAATACTGAACAGGACTCTGAATACAAACATGAATCTGAGTACATGTGTGAATGATTGCTAACCATGTAGTGATCTAGGGTGAGGTCTTCAGTCAAACTCCGCAATACAGAAAGGGAAAAAAAAAAGAAAAGGCAAGTGAAATTGAGCCATTCGATTCACTTATTGCCGATTTGATCCTCCTTGTAGTTGTAATTCGGCAATTAGCTCATGATTTATACTTTAAGTAGTTTGATTTAGGACAAAGCAAAAGTGAACTATAATTGGAATGGAGGGAGTATTAGCATTGCCACAGCTAGCAAGACAGTGGAAATTGGTGATTAGTACCATTTAACAACTGAGCGGTAATACGAAAATTCACTAGACCACATCCCGGCTTTGACTTTCCCCCGACCGCCCCCCCTGTGTGATTAGTACCATTTAACAACTGAGCGGTAATACGAAAATTCACTAGACCACATCCCGGCTTTGACTTTCCCCCGACCGCCCCCCCCTGTGTGATTAGTACCATTTAACAACTGAGCGGTAATACGAAAATTCACTAGACCACATCCCGGCTTTGACTTTCCCCCGACCGCCCCCCCAATGTAACCACGCAAAAACGGGTGGCCTTGCCTATCCAAAATTAATCCCCCAAAGTGTTAATTTCTTCACGTATAGCCCCGAGAACAAATCTATGGAACACAAATAGCATCACCGCCACAACACAAGAGGGCGGAGCAATCTCAAACCCTAGTACGATAGCTTGGCAGGGAGAGGGGCGTACCCAGCCGAGCGGGCGGGCGGAGCGCGCCGAGACGGGAGACGGCAGTGTCGGAGAGGCGGGTGGCGGTGCCGCGGAGGTGCTCGAGGATGAGGCGGTCCAGATCGGCTACCTCTCTCTCCAGCTCCTCCACACTCTCCAGCTCCTCCGCCTCGTCCTCAGCGGCTGCGGCGGGGGCCGGAGCCTTGCGCTTGCGCTGGTTGGGCGCGGCTCCATTTTGCCCTGGCTCGAGCGAACCGCCAGCCATGGTGGATTTTGTGAGGTAAAGGCACACGCCGCGCACGGGCCGGGGCCGACGAGGGGAGCGCAGGCGCGCAGCGCAGCGGATTTCAGTTTGGAGAAGGAGCGCAGGGTGCGGGCGTGCGACTTTGTGAGCAGATAGGCCCGGTTCAAATTAGGAGCTTCTGATACGTGGGCCCCAGATGGGTTAGGTTGACCGTTGAGTAGGTGTTTTTGGTTCCTCGGCTTCTTTTCTTCCTGGCCAGGCTCAATGGAGCTACAGCATGATCGCTGGGGCTGGCTGGGCTGGCCAGACTCCTCATATGAGTACTGTTCACCTGAACCAGCCAGCAGTACTTCTCTCTCACATAAACAAACCAGCAACTATACGAACCAGCCAAACAAACAGGCTGCTAATTTGGATTTGCTTGGTAGCCTGAACAACTAAGTTAGGTCAGAGTAAGCCCCCAAGGAGTTTTTAGATAGGTTTTCTAAGATGCAGGGAGTCGATACCATCGAGCCATGAGAGCACCACTAGCGCCCGGACGTTCGGATAGACCCCCGCGTAGCCTGCACCAACGCCTGCTGCACGTACAGACGGACCCGCCCCGCACCGCTCCCCCACGCTTTCCTGCTTTCCCGCGCCCCACCATGCCTGCTATGCCGCTACTCTCCATGCACGGCGTCCCAGTAGCTGCAACAGGCGGCTGTGGCAAGTGGCTCACATTGCAACATGCACAATATCCTCGGTCTACTTTTGAAACATCCAGATAAAATAGGTGCAACTTACGTATGAAACAGTTGAAAAATTCAAAACATACGTCTGAAACATTTGCAAAAGCCCCTGAAAAATACTTGAAAACCATTGCAAATATATGCAACATCCAGATAAAAACACTCGCAACATATGTGTGAAACATATATGCAACATCCAAATATATACACTTCCAACATACGTTTAAAAAAACAGGTGAAATATTGAAAATAGACACTTGCAACATACATGTACAACCATAGCAACATATGCAACATCCCGATCTACTTTTGCAACAACCTCATGAAACACTTACAACATACATCTAAAACATCTGAAATATTAAAAACACGCACTTGCAACATGCGCTTTTAGCACGACATCTCCTTACTGCTTAGGAGAATGGAAGCTCGACGACGTGTGGAGTTCACCGAAGGCAGTGGTCGAGCGGCACTTGTAGGCTGCGGCCCGGCAGCAGCTGCTGCGTGAGGTGGCAGGGAGGCATCAGCCACGCGATGTGGCAGGGAGGCAGAGGGCAACCACGGCTCAAAGGCGGCCGCGCGTCGCGCCTGGCAGGCAAGGCCGGTAGCTGAGCGCCGTGGCTCGGAGGCAGCCGCACGTCGCGCCTGGCAGACAGGGCCGGCAGTCCGGTGGCCGAGCGCTTCTCCTCGGAGGCGGCGGGCGAGCGGATAGGAGCGACGAGCGGATGGGAGCAACGGGCGAATATGATAGACGAGCGTTTTTTTAGAAACGGACGAGGGGATTTCTGGGGGTCGTTGGGACTCGACCCGGATGGACGGACGACCTATAAGCAGCATTACCGTACCATCAAGCCTGGTTTTGTCCGACCGCTCTGTTTGATTCCCCCTCACTATGTGCTCTCAACCCTCGGCATAGTCTTTGGTCCGCCAACTGCTGCCTCGAGCTCCATTAGAAATGGCAATGGGTTCAATCCTCGATTTCCCACGAGAAATTTTCCAATTAGAGGGTGAGAATGGGTAATTTAATCCACACAAGAATAAAAAATGAGAAAATTAGTCCCCGTTGAGTTCGGGTGGACAAGGATGGAGAGCCATCCCTTGCCCCCATTCCCCACGTTCCCACCTCGTAAACTCGCTCTTCAGCCTCTTGACATGTTAAAATTCAACCGAAAGCTCAACACATAACCTAATATAAAATAGCAAGCTACATCCTAAAATAGGTGTCTCTTATAACATGAAATTTGCTTGTTTAATTTATATTTATTTGACACCATGAATTTGTTTTGCTCTTTAAATGTTGCATTTTATAACGGGGATGTGTTTCCCGAGGGGATAAATTCTCCGAGCGAGGACAGGGATGGGAGAAAAAGCTCCCCATGAATGTCCGCGAGGATGGGGACCGGGATTGAAGCGATCCTTCGACGGGGCACTCCCCGTTGATATCCCTAGGGTCCACCCTCCACCTCGTCTCTACCCCCACCGAGCTCTGTCTCCACCCTCGCTGCTCTCACGCCTCCATCTCCACCCCAACGCGCCGTTTGCCTTCGCCACGCCGGTCACCGCCCTGGATTCACCCCGGACCTCGTCTCCAACCCACCAGACGCCGCCCTACATCTCGCCTCCGCCAACCAGTCGCCACCCTCCACCCCACCTTCCCTTGCCGAGCTTGTCTCCAACCAGGCCTACACCCTCGGTCTGTCTGCACCATCGGTCCTTGGATATGTGCTTTGACGCACATCGCCCACGCGCACCGGTGTGTGCAGCATGAAGAACCCACCTTCACAAGCGCGCAGAGGAGAGCACCGAGAACAGCAAGGGGTGAAGAAGAGGTGATTTCAGCTAAAACGCACCTTCACAAAGGGAGAAGTGATCCTATCTAAGCTAGCTAGGAACCAAACATGATTAGTAACAAGCAAACTAAACACAAGTCTCTTGCATTATCGAAGCAGCTAGCCAGGCTAGCTCTCCAACGTGAACCAAACATACCCTATGTGTTCTGGCCACTTGAGCTATCTTTGTACTCTGCAAGAGGATTTTGAGTTCGGCTCTGATTAAACCCCGTTTGGCAACGTTTCTGATTTTACGAGAATTGGTAAAATCACTGCTAAAACATGCCGGATAAGAAATGCTTCGCTCGAGAGGGAGACGGCACTGCACCGCTTTTAGTTATGATCTCTATAGATATTGACGCAAAGCTTTCAAAGACGATGCTCCGCAAAATGAGTGTTGGAGACCCTGCGTACTAGTAATTCAGTTCAATAAAAAAAAACAGCAGATACAATGACTGGTGTAGAATTTTTTTCTCTCTTTTGAATAAATAAATACGTTGGATGTAGGAGCAGTTCTTAACACATAGACCACCAGGAGCCTTTTGTCTGTTTGGTGCCTTTGGTGAGCAAGATATTTTCTTACTCAAGTTGCGTGTTGACGTGCCAGCAGAATTAGCCAACAGGCTCGTCATCAGGGTCAAGCTATAAACTGCACCGATGGATTTTTGCAAGAATATTCCAACCTAAAAGCTACCCTCAATAAGTGCGCATATCCCTCTCTATCTCGTTTCCTTTGCTTTTGTAAACAGAAGCAGGCACCCAAATCTTGGAATTCATCCTCTAATAATTCGACTAAGACAGGACAAGTTAATTCCATGATAGCATCAGTACAGTGACACAACTTTCAGGGAGTATTCAGCGTAGTGGAGACACTAGTAGGCAGTAGCATGACAGCTACAGCCTACAGGTGCAGTCTCAGCTGCATCAAAGCGTCACAGTTCAATGTGTAGCACCACGCAAATCTGAAGATTTGGCAAAAATGGGATGTGTTAGGGGGAAAATATGAACTAAAGGTGTGAATGCTACCATCTCCACATGCCTTGTTCGCTTAGCTGATAAACCATGGCTGAAAGTACTGTTGGCTGATTTGTTGTGAGAGAAAAATATTATTCGTTGGCTGAAAAAGTATGGCTTATAAGCCAAGCGCAACGAGAACCATTTAGGCTTATTCAGAACAGCAATTGCTGTGCCGAAGCCCAGCTGAATCACAAGTGTACATAAACACATCAAAACTTCAAGAATCCTTCAACTCTGCAACTGCAAGAGCGCTGCGGCTGAAGGCAGCAAATCGGCAAGAAATTTATTTTCGTCTGATCGAGCTCGATTACGCTATAGCGAACCTACTTAATTACATCCATCCATGATCCATGCGAGTCGACGGCGTGTGCCATGTATGTACATTTATCAACTAAAAGACGTGTGGAGCAATTACCAGTTTAATTGCCACTCTTCCAAAGGCGCGCGGCGCGCGGCGAGCTCTGACCGCGAGCGGTACGTGGTAAAAGCAGCTAGGTGCAGTATGCCCGCCGTCAAGCGGCCGCGACGCCACGCGCCGCGGCCGTGGGCGGCGAGGAGCCGGCGGCGTGGCGCGCGGGCGCGAACCTGGCGCTGAAGTCCGGCTCGCGCTCCTCCAGCTGCAGGCAGCCGTCGTCGAAGTTCTGCGCGTAGCTGAGCGGGTCGTAGTTGAGCCCGCCGGCGCCGAGGAGGGAGCGGCCGCGCCGCCGCCGGAGCCGCACGAGGCTGAGACGCTGCCGGAGCCTGAGCCACAGCGCGGCGGCGCCGAAGCTGCCCCAGCAGGAGGCCATCGTCCCGTGGTAGGCGTCCACGTCCGCCTCCCCGTCCTCGCCGCACTCCTCCAGCGCCGGCAGCCTCCCCGGCGAGCCCGGCGCCCACATCTGTGCAGCGCAGCGCAGCTCCTCCGGTCCTCCCTCTGCACGAAAAGCAGATAGAGGGAGAGCGCGCGCGCAAGGCGCAACTGGCTTTGGCAAGTGATGTGTGTGACTGTGTGTAGCTGGTTGGTTGGCAGATGAGGCGGATGGGAGAGCGCGGTCGGAGGCGGGAGCCGTGGGATGCGAGGCGGACGGCGGAGATGGGGAGGCGCAGCGGGCGCCGTGCGTGATGAGATCATGCGCTCCCCGGCCTCGTCGGCACGTTCTGTCGTGCCAGCGGGGATCTCGGCTGACGTGGGGACTGGGGGCTGGCGCGGTCCCACGGCGGGGGCACGACTTTTCAGATCCGGAGTGCAAGCAAGAGATGTTGCTTGCTTCTACGAGCCGCCTCCTAGGCGTCTGCTGTCCTGCATGGGCTCCAATTGCGCTTGAAATCAATACTAGTATACTCGAATGTTGGAATTTTTTGACAGCCGATGATGATTGCCTATGATCACTCAATCGCCAGCAACGAAATAGATACATCATACAAATTTGTGCTTTAAGTAAGAACAGATCAGCCGGTTTTGTTACTTCGATTTTGCGGGTAAATTATGCATCTGAGCATTGCAGATCGCGAGCTTCGGTTTGCGGAAGATCCCGTTCAGAGATGGGACAAATGTGACATACTACTCCTACTAGTCGATCTGGCATCATGTGGTCCGTACAAATTTGAATAGTTCGATAATTAGCCATGGTCCGATCAGCCAATCACAGATCTAGTTCTGCCACTTAATATGTTCTGCCTAGAACGTACGCGGTTGTCTCTACCCATTTGAACGTAATACCGATTACCAATGACTATCTCTGTTTGCTATTAGTCAAAAAATTCATATTTAACTAAAGTTATATAAAAAAAATATTACAAAACAAGTATCACTAGATTTGCTATAGAATATATTTTTCATACTATACCTTTTTGTAGTTATAAAAAAAATATTATTCTTAATAAATTTAGTTAAACTTAATAGTTTAACTTGAACCGGACTTTAAATTATATCTTTTTTGAGACTAAGGCACCACATACATAACTCAATGCTACACAGTCTCCTTTCATCACCCTGCAGTTTATACAACCGGCACCTCCCACCACTTCTTTTAGGTAGGATGTCCCCACATTGTATTCTACCAAAAAAAAAGATTGTATCAAGAACTTTGTTGCAGTCGAGCGTGCAGCCTACGAGTAATGGAATTGCATTTCTGTTTCAAAAAAAAAAATCCTTTCGTGTCTTTGCACTTGACTACTTAATCCGTTCCAAATTATAAGACGTTTTGGTTTTTCTAGATTCATAACTTTTGCTACACACTTAGATTTACACTATGTCTAGATGCATAGTGAAAATAATGTATATAGGAAAACTAAAACATCTTATAATTTAAAACGGAGGGAGTAAGTTCTAGTGATTTTGCTCTAGCAAGTCATGGCATAACTTAGTTTTAAAAGAAAATTCCTTTATTGTCATTCAAATCTATACCCTTTCCTTCAATGCCATCAAAATTATGAGTTCCCTTCAATGTTATTAGACACAAAACGACTGCTGGGTGGAGGGTGGTAATGGATGAGCGAGATTGATTGTCGCCTCATTATTACCATATCACATTTTTACCTGTAACAATATATACAAAGGGCATTTAACTAGTCTTACATGAAAATCATATGGAGTTTATGCATTTATATTTTTGTAAAATGAGCTAAGCCAGTAAAATCTTGGTCTCAGTTGTAGGCTACACGCTTCAAAGTTTTATATGGATGCTCCGAACTGAAGGGTCACACTTAAGTAGAACATGAAGTGGCAAGCACTGACCATGGAGTTGTCGGCACAGACTGGGCGGTACTTTATGAAGGTCGACAAAGAGATGATAAAAGCACTATAGTGTGTTGTTTCCGCATGAAGATGAAATTTGTTGTAAGGTTTTAGACTATATTATATTATGGAACTATTTGTACTTTATGGTGTGCTTTTGTGACTTTTATGAAGTTTTATTGGTTTACTTGATGGGAATTATCTGGTGGCATATATATACACTCAATTTGAAAGTCTTGCGTGATGTGGTAGAGCTCACAAAGAAAACGCAATGTTACCCAGGTCCCATATATATATATATATATATATGCCATAGGTATAGGAGAGACGCAGGTCTCTGGTCTCCATTTCGTCCGCAAGAATTTGTGTGGTCATGACCAAGCATACAGAAATCTTTGCATCCATTTCCTATTTTAAGCCACCTCACCACCACTTGACCACAGGACGCTTTAGCCATTTTTAGATCACAAGAAGAAACCTCTCTTACGCATGTAGCGTACCTCGTACTACCGTCTCCCATTTCGTTCCGCCACTCCCATGGACAATCCGATCCACAGAAGGTGCACGCTACCGTGTCTCGGTCTCCACGCTGCCGCGGCCGTGCTCCTCCTCCTCCTCCTATCTCCGGCGGCGGTCACCCCGGTCGCGAGCCACAATGACCACGGCGAGCACAAAAACTACCTCGTCATCGTGCGCAGCAAGTACGAGTACGATAAGAATCTGCACAAGAACGTGTCAAGCTGGCACGCGTCGCTCCTGTCGTCGGTGTGCGACACTGCCAAGGAGGCCCTGGAAGCGGACCCGTCCGCCATGACCCGGCTCATCTACTCCTACCGCAGCGTCGTCAACGGCTTCGCCGCCCGCATGACGCCGGAGGAGCTGGAGAAGATGTCCAAGATGGAGTGGTTCGACCGAGCCCTCCCCGAGCAGACGTTCCACCTCCTGACCACGCGCACGCCGCAGATGCTCGGGCTCATGGGCGGCAGCCGGGGCGGCGGTCTGTGGAACACAAGCAACATGGGCGAGGGCGTCATCATCGGGATCCTCGACGACGGCATCTACGCCGGGCACCCGTCGTTCGACGGGGCCGGGATGCAGCCGCCGCCGGCCAAGTGGAAGGGCCGGTGCGACTTCAACAAGACGGTGTGCAACAACAAGCTCATCGGCGCGCGCTCCTACTTCGAGTCGGCCAAGTGGAAGTGGAAGGGCCTCCGCGACCCGGTGCTCCCGATCAGTGAGGGGCAGCACGGCACGCACACCTCCAGCACGGCGGCCGGCGCGTTCGTGCCCAACGCCAGCGTCTTCGGCAACGGGCTCGGCACGGCGACCGGCATGGCCCCACGCGCGCACATCGCCTTCTACCAGGTGTGCTACCAGGATAAGGGCTGCGATCGGGACGACATACTGGCGGCGGTGGACGACGCCATCGAGGACGGCGTCGACATCCTGTCGCTGTCGCTTGGCCACGAGGATGCCATCGACTTCTCGGACGATCCCGTCTCGCTCGGCGGGTACACAGCGATCCTGAACGGCGTGTTCGTCTGCGCAGCGGCGGGCAACACCGGCCCGGCCCCCGCGACCCTCGTCAACGAGGCGCCGTGGCTGCTCACCGTGGGCGCCAGCACCACCGACAGGAGATTCTTGGCCTCCGTAAAGCTTGGGGATAACGTGGAGCTTGACGGCGAGTCACTCAACGACCCCAACACCACCATGGGCGGCCTGCTCCCATTGGTGCGCGACATGTCCGATGGCCAGTGCCTCAACGGGAACGTGTTGAAGGCAGAAAACGTCACCGGAAAGATCATCATCTGCGAAGCCGGCGGTGATGTCAGCACCGCGAAGGCCAGGATGCTAAAGAGCATCGGCGCGGCCGGAATGATCATGGTCACCCCGGAGGTGTTCGGTCCGGTAATCATCCCGAGGCCGCACGCCATCCCGACGGTGCAAGTCCCTAACGCGGCGGGGCAGAAGATCAAGGCTTACCTCAAGAAAACGCGGGACGCGACGGCGACGTTCGTCTTCAAAGGAGCAGCGTTCAACACTCCAAAGTCGCCGATGGTCGCGCCCTTCTCTTCGCGGGGCCCGAACAGGAGGAGCCGTGGGATTCTGAAACCCGACCTCATCGGTCCCGGGGTGAACATCCTCGCCGGCGTCCCCTCGATCGAGGATGTGGACCAGCTGCGCAACGCGCCGGTGCCCAGGTTCGACATCAAGTCCGGCACGTCCATGGCCGCGCCGCACCTCAGTGGCATCGCCGCGCTGATCAAGCACGCGCACCCGAATTGGTCGCCCGCGGTCATCAAGTCGGCGCTGATGACGACGGCGGAGCCTACCGACAACCTCCGGAAGCCGATCTTGGACGTCAACGGCAGGCCGGCGACCTTGCTCGCCCTCGGCGCCGGCCACGTGAACCCGAAGAGGGCCATGGACCCTGGCCTCGTGTACAACATGACGGCCAAGGGCTACGTGCCGTACCTGTGCGGGCTCAACTACACGGACGACAAGGTGAACACGATCATCTACCCGGAGCCGCCGGTGTCGTGCGCCAACCTGTCAAGGCTCGAGCAGGACGACCTCAACTACCCGTCAATCTCCGTCATCCTCGACCAGCCGCCCTTCACCGCGACGGCCAACCGCTCCGTCACGAACGTCGGCGCCGCCAGCTCGACGTACGCCGTGGAAGTGAACGTGCCGGCGTCGGTGACAGTGGAGGTGAACCCGACGAAGCTGACTTTCAAGGCGCTGGAAGAGGTCTTGAACTACTCGGTCACAATCAAGTCGGCCAACGGCCAGGCGCTCACCGCCCCTGTCGAGGGGGAGATGAAGTGGGTCTCCGGCAAGTACGTCGTGCGCAGCCCGATCCACGTCACTACCGGAGCCCTCCCGCCCGCGCCGGCGACACGCAAACCCTAACTCTCCATAACAGCTGGCAAATGCCTACATGGTAACGATTGGTAGTTGGCCATATGAGCTAGCGTTTGAGATCGATGCGATTCATTCACTTTTGATTCGGTAGACTAAATTAGGCATGCAGATGCAGAGCAAATCATTCCCTTGGTGGAAGTGAGAGATACATAATTACCTCCTTATTTTTATATATATTTTTATTAAAAATAGCTGACGAATTTACAAGTTTAACAATGTAGATCTCTTGACACTGTTAAACGTTGTGGTTCTACCACTAGCAATGTAGATTAATTCTTATTTTATTGCACGACTAACGCTGGACTCAAGCTATGGGGAAAAGCCTGGTACGAAAACCAAATGTATCCGCATTTACCAATTATGGTTTTGCCGATTTTGATTATAACACAACTAATTGAACACGTCTTCTCTTTTGATTCTGTTCATTTTAAACAACCGCTAGGATACGCAATTTAAACTCGGTTACCACTTGACGAGTCATTCTCTTCCACTGTTGTGACTTTGTGCGGGGACACTAACCTGACTAAACCTATATGCATCTACCAAGAACAAGACTATATAAGAGAGAATAATTTGTATTGTTTTTCTTTAGGTTAGCACTTGTATTTTCCACGATATGGATAGACCCATTATTCTCTTGTATGGGATCTTTATCTTCTTTGGTTTTCAATGTTTTGTTTTTGACATTTTGTATTGAATTATGTTTCCAATTATTATTAATATCATCGGAATTTCAACTTAAAACATGTTTAAGTCAATTTTAAACTCTTAAAAGCATTACATATGAATGAGGTGGTGCTTTATGTTTCTTTAATACTAGCATAGAGAAATATGTATTATATGGGTATTTTAGGTTAAAACTTTTATGTGGTGGCAGTAATAGATAATTTATTAACACTATTTGGCATTTTGATTTTATTTTTGGATTAATATGGTAATCTTTAGGCCTCCACAATTAACTTGGATTTTTTACTTAATTTTTTTGAGGAGTTTTTAGTTAAATATTAAGATGATAAATTATGGGTGAACCAAAGGTGGAACTTTATTTAGCCCCTAGGTCCCAGCCTAGGGCCTACACCCTAGCCATGTTGGATAAGACAAATGGACCATCATGACCGATACCTTTTCTTGCTATGGGTCGGTCCAGTCTTACTTTGACCAGGACAAGATTCAACAATGGCCAATTTAATGTTATCATATGTACTGCCAGTATGCAAGTAGGCTAGCCCACGAATCCGCGTATATACTACTACAGATTGATTTATCACTATCGACACTTTTACTACCGTAGCGATAAAAACATCGGTGTGATACTTCCACCATCGGTTGGACCGATAGGGAGGCCTCCTAAGGAATGAAACCGGCAGTTGAAAACCATCAATGCGGCGGTAGTAGTGGGGTTGAATTCTACCGTCGTTTGGAACGCCGAGTCGACTGGGATAGGGGTTATGGTCGCCGGCCCTACACGACCGTTTGGTGTACCGACGGTAGTAAAATCAGCGTGAGTTATTTTTCCATTTTCCAACTATCCACAACACAGTTGCATCACCATTACTTTCCTACGGAGTATGCCTCGTCTTCCTTGATGCTTATATTAACTGCTCCTCTCTTCTTCTCCATCTTCAAGGTTGGCCTATTTAAGCCGGGGCTGGATACGCTTCTTGGCAATCCACACACTCCTTCCTCCTTAGATACAGATAGATACAGACAAAGCTCTTGAGCCAACCATCTATATTTTCTTCATCGCCATGGCGCTCCTTCTCCAACTCCTCCTACGGCAATGGCGGCGTTGGAAGAATGCCTTCAAGATTGGATACTACCGGCATCAAGGCGCAGTAGGGGCTGCTCGATCTAGGTGTTAGTGGAAGTTTTGCGATTAAGGGGGTTCGTTTAGAGACCAGCTGTAAAGATCTTTGCAGCCTTCTCTCAACCTACCCATATAGTAGTTAGCTCTTCACTGTTCAGTGATGACTACCGAAGATCAGCAATTGAAGTCTGCAACTGATGCTCTAAATGGGCTTAAAGTGACTCGATCATCACCTCTTCTTCAATACTCATGTAAGAAAAATAAGCGCTCCAGGGTTGTTATGGTGCAGAAACTGATTCTAGTTCCAGAAATTCAAGTTTTATACAAACATAAGCAGAATGCCCTCCAAAGAAGTTACATGCTTCCAAAGCGCAAGTTGAGGTAAATATGAAACTGTTGTTTGTAATTCACTATATAGTTTAGATTGTGTTTTTTATTTTGGATATGTTTCATAATTTCATATACTTTAGTTGTTATTTATGGTCACTACGATAGACCTCATTTTTGCTGCCTAGGTTTCACCACTGGCTTATTTATAATTATGTCTCTCTCTTTATAAATTTTTGCAGTTGCGATCAATCAAAATGAAAAAGGAGGACCCCCTCGAAGGGACAAGAAACTCAAAGGAAAGGCCATAGTGGTTAAAAAGAGCAAGAAGTCCCAATTGTCAAGGACAACAAGAACAACACTAAGAGCAACACGGGGTACCCCAACACGACCGAGCCCTCCTCCGGCCGTGAAACATCGAGGCTATCCAGGAATCGGCAGAGAGGCCTCACTCTCCGAGGAGATAGAGGCATTGAGTTTTTTTATCATTGCGCCGACAAGAGGTAGAGAATGAGCATGTTCCACGACGACCATACCGAGGTCCATAGTGACTCCAACCGATGGCATCCCGACGACCACCGTGTCCCTACCACTATGTCCACGATCGGACCATACCGGGCCGGGAAAGGGTACGACGGGGATTACCGATCGTGTCCAAACGTCAGATCCATGATCGGCCGCTTCGCTCAAGGCCTCTAAGACTGCACACCGGGCCTCGGCGATCTTGGGGTAGTCATCGACCAAGCCTCGGCATCGTCGTCCACAGTGGCTATTCATATGAATATGAAAGTCATTGGTCTCAAGGAAGGAAACTCCGCCACGAGAACAGGCTACAGGGTTGAGAGTCGGCTCATGTACCCCAAGTCCTCCCTTCATGCTATAAAGAGAGGGCCAGGGTTGTTTTAGGGAAAGGCCTAACACACGCACTCCCGCCACGGAGAGCAACGTCTCAAAGCGGCCCCACGGCACCACCGCCAAGACCTAGGACCATCACTTTAGCTTGTTATTGTGTAATGTTCGACCCGGAAGTAGGGCCTTTTTAGTTGTAGCGTTTTCTTGTCCTCAGTGATATTAGGAGATAGAGGCATTGAGTTTTTTTTATTAGTGGAGATGACTTAACGCTCTAGTTGTAGTTATTCAGATGAATATGGAAACATGTACATCGAGAGACAGAGAGGCAAAGGCCTAAAATTACAGATTATTGTGTAATGTACTTGGATGTCCTCATGATATTAATTGTGTTTATTAGTGGAGATGACTTAACTTGTATTAAGAAATTGGCATGTCCACATGTATCCGCCATGTTGGCGACCATACGCCTTCTATATTTCTTATATTGATATTAATTGTGTTTATTAGTGGAGATGACTTAACTTGTATTAAGACATTAGAAGCATGTGCAAGGGAATCTGAATCGCATCATATGAGAAGGAAGATAACTGTAACGAGTTTAGAAAGGACGAATAATCGTACTTGGCGTATCATTGTATTAAGGAGAATGAAGAGTTTATCATACAAAAAAAGTTTATCATAGAAATCCCCGTCATCCAGATATAGTACATATCAACATTGATCTACATAGAATCTACCACATTGATCTGAAGAACCTATCACACTCATAGCGGATCCTACACTCCTCGCTGCAGAACATAGCCCACTCCTCCCAACCTTCCCATCCTGCGTGGACGCCGCAACCTCGCCTCCACACTGATGTCCGTCCTTGCAACGCACCGGCATGGCCAGAGGAGGCAGAGGACTAGACTGACCAGGCGTCGGCCGCCCAGCAAAGTCATCCAACACGAACATGGCCCGTTGGAGGCGTCGTGTACATATCTCGTTCTTCCACGTCACATTCGCCGCTAGGCCCGCTTGATTCCCTTCGACCTTTCTCAACCACCGCCGGGCAATGTTGTCATTGCCGGCACCGCTATTGGACCTGTGGAACACAAGGGAGAGAACAAATGCAGCAACATCATGGCCTATCGTGGTGGAGCGCTCAAGCATGTCGAGCCATGGCATGAGCGCGGTGTGGTCTTCCACGAAGACGGCGCGCATCCCAGCGTAGAAGCAGGCCTCCGGGTTGCCGACGCTAGCAAGCCTGGCGATGAGCTTGGCGCGGTACTCGTGGTCGTAGAACCGGTTCCAGGTCCCAAGGTGTATCCCACACAGCAGCACCCGCCGCAGTGGTATGCTCCATCCCACTATGGTGTCACCGCACACCCTACGCATCTATGAACAAGTTGCCCGCATGCTGCCAAGATCATCCATGGGATCCGCTGTAGCCTCAGCGATGCAGCTAGCAATCTCAACAACCATATCCTTCGGGAGCTTCTCCATGGAACGAGGACACGCACGGCGGCTGCAAAAGACAGATCCTTGGGTCGGGGAGCGACGTCACAGCAGAACGGAGCACTAGGGAGGGGGATCGGAGCAGAGCAAGGTGAGTTCCAAAAAACCCTCTTGGGATTTTATGATCGCTCCGTTCTTGAAGGTTCCATAGCACGGGGATGTCGAACGTCTCGGGGAAGTCAATCGTCATCCTCCGTGTGAATCGCGTAAACTGTGTATGAAAATGCGAAAAAAAATTCAGAATGAAAGAATCTTTTATCTTACTATCTACGATTACTAATTAGAGGCCCCAACGGTGTAAACCGTGTGAACCGAGTAAACCGTGTGAACCCCTAATTTTGCATGTAAATTATCCACCTCTGCCATTACAAAAGATAATTCAAAACAGTCGATAAGAATAAAATAGGTTAGCGGTTCGTCACTTCGTCTCCCCTAAGATCGTGGTTAGCGCTAGAGGGGCCGAGCCGCGTGGTCGAGTCAATTTTCTCCGTCCAACTTCCAACACCGTTCCATCACCATTACTTCCGCCGGGAGAAGCGTGCTCCACTAAGATCGTGCGAGACGTGGCCTTGTCTTAACTCCTACTCTCGCTCAGTGCAATCAAAGGGAACTCCAATGGGCGCCTATCTCGCCCATCCTTCTATAAAAGCGGAGGCTAAGGCGGGCAAGCAAGTACACGATTCATTTTCTCTCAAACTTCTATCTTCTTCGTCCGGCGCTCCACCTCGACACCCCATCTTTCACATCCCATCTAATGGCGGATCGGGCAACGAAGCATCCAATGGAAGAGTCACCGGAGGTTGTCCCTGCTCGTCCCCGCTTTCATGCGATGCTGCGATGGGACAGGGAGGGCAGCTCGGCGGCACCGCCACCGGAGAGCCGAACCCCGCTTCCGGCTATCTCCAACGATGACGATGGGGGGCGGATGATTGGTGGAGCAGCTAGACGTGGCCACCACCGCCCTCCGTGAGGAGAGCCGGGAGGCAGACCGGCTGTGCCTCTTCTGTTGCCGCCGTGAAGCGGGAAACGGCCGCGGCGGAGCTTGCCGCCGCCGAGGCCCAGGCGTGCCTCGCTGGTAAGGCATTCGGCACGATATGATCTTGCTATTTCACTACGTGCGACGTCGTGCCTTCAGTTGTAGCATTTTCTTGTCTCCTTTTTAACCGTCCAGGAGCAGCTGATCGCCGCACGGGGCGAGGCGGCGGAGGTGATCCACCTTTGCTAGGTAGCCGAGGACAACGCCCGTGTCTCCTCCCGGATGGTGGCCAAGAGCAACAGGTGCTACCAAGACCTCCATGTGGCAGCAGACAACGCCCGTGTGTGCTTTCGCCTCCTGCGCCTGTAGGGACAACCCTGGCGGACCGCCTCCACACCATGGCACCGCTGGTCGTGGAGGTGGCCACGTACTGCATTCGCCTAGGGGCCACTTCGGCCATGGCCGCCACCCAGCTTCGGCTGGGTGAGGACCTGACTGTGGTGGAGCCAGGGTTCCCGAGAGAGACGACCTATCGGCAGCGCTAGAACCTGACCGGCGAGTTCTCCGCCGTGGGCGATGGCATTCTAGCCGTGGTGGATGTAGAGGACATCGTTCATAACGCTCCCCGTGAGTAGTTCGATTGTAACATGCCTCTGCATTCTGAATAAAAATATTTATAATATTAATAGTTATTACTGTGAGTTCATCTCTGTTTGCTATGACTTGAACATTCCATTTGTGTGCCTTAAAGTTCGCAGACCGTATGACACGTCCGTCGTTAGTAGGTGCTAACATCTCCCAATCATCACCGCCGGTAGCCTTCACTGCCGCTTTCGTCAATTTCCAAGCACGCACGTGAGTCCTACGCGTCACTCCTGCGCGTATTTACAAAGTTTTTTAGAAATTTGCATTTCCGCATCTGATATAGTTGCTTACAAAGGACGCTACCCACCGTATCTTTCTCCTCCTCAGTGCTGCTGTTCCTCATCAACGCCCCTGCTTCCCAGTGCCGAGTTGCGCGACCACCCCTACTCAGCGGCATGCAAGCCGCCAGTCACCACCGATAAGCTAGTGTTCCGCATCGGTACGTCTCACCGGCAGTTAGACAACATAGATCCACCAGTGACCAGGGTGGTACTTATCACCGCCATCGCCGCTCAAGCTCAATGCCGCAAGATCCAAAGGCAATGGTAATGCTTTCGCACTTCCCTTATGCATTGTTCTTGGATTTTATTCCCTTCTTCACTCATCTGAGTACTTCCGTAGTCGCTCCTTCTCTGATTTAGGCGACAGCGCTGACGCTTCTATCGCCGTCCCCGCTCCACCAGATCCTCATCAAGATGGAGGAGGAGGCCCCTAGCAAGAGGAACGAAGTGGCCATCCTTTTAGACCATGTCTTGGTCTTCATCCTCAGCCGCCTCACCTGCCCGCTCCTTGTGCAGATACAAGTGTGTCTATCGCTCCTGGAATAGCCTCATATCGGGATCCGAGTATCGTAAGGAGCTGCCCTAGATTCTCGCCGGATTCTTCTACCGTAGCTGGAAATGAAAACGCAACTTCACCAGCGTCAACGGTGAATAACCCCCCTTGTCCTTCTTGCCCTTTCCCATTTAGGATGTCGTGATCTCAGATTGCTCCTAGGGCCTCATCCTCTTCTGGTACTCTAGGTTTCGCTATGTTGCCTGCAATCCGGTGACTAAGAAATGGTTGCTACTGCTGGGTAGCAACCATTCTTGTGGTTTAGCTCGCTTGGGTTTGATCCGACAGTCTCCTCGCACTTCCATATGTTTGAATATAGGATCAATGATGATGACTCTTTAGGTGTCAACATCTACTCATCTAAAATCGGAGCATAGATCTTTAAAGAATCTAAATGGGGCGAGGGTATTGTAGTATCCACATATGGGATAGGTGTGTTTGTTAATGGTTTTATGCACATGCTGGAGTTCACCTAGATAGTTGCTGTTGATATGGAGGGAAAGACATGAAGGAAAATTCATAGGTCAACTGGTGATGCAATCTCCATCCATGAAGCTCAGGGTCAGTTGTGTTTATGTACTGCTGATACTTTGAAGAGGTATGAGCTTTCAATCTGGATCTTTAAAGACTATGGTACTAGTAAATGGACATTGAAGCATAAGGTGACCACATTGGAGCTATTTGGAAAGAAGAATATTGAAATTGATACCGAGGTTTGTGATGCGGCCTACAGAGTGATTGCAATTCATCCAGAATGGAATTTGATTTTTCTTGTTGGGGAGGACAAATCACTGCTTGCGTATGACATGAATCACAGTAAAGTTCATGTCCTCCCTGCTTGGGACATCGACTATGCTAGAAGTACCTGGAAACTATTATGTATGAACGGCAGACCTCGCTATCTTCCTTATGTTTCCTTGTTCATGGAGTCATTAGAAGAGCAGTAAAGGTGCATATGCTATATTTTGTTGTAATTACGTCATGCCTTTGCTCAGGTAGGTAGTTGTTTTGATTCTATATATAGGCTAATTTGGGCTTTGTAACAAAAGGAATGGTGTGTTGAATATTATTATCTGTGCTGCTTTGTGTAGGTGGAGTCTGAGTGCTTTTGAATAATTTTCCTGCATTGGCTAGGAGGAACAAGGGGGGTTTCATGGTGCATTGCCTACCAATTCGAAGGATGCACTAATTATATTCATTTTTGCCTCGCAAGCAGGAGTGCCACATAGGAGAATCACAGCTACGTCGTTTCGTTATGTAAGCCTGTAGAGATTAGTACCTTTAGTTTGCAATCTATGTACCGCTTGTGTTAGGACATCAGTTGAGAAAGATATTATGGTAAGCATCCATTGTTGTTGTAAGAACATGGTTTATGGATGCAATGATTATATCTGTATGCTTTGTGTTCAGTAAGCTATTAAATGTCGTTTATTGTTTTGTTATCACCACCGCCGTTGGTGGTGCAAACGTCCAACACCGTCGCTATATGTATTATGCGGCAGGGATCAAAGTGTATCACCGCCGAATTGTTTAGTAACCCGACACCGACTAAACGATCGTCAAAGGCGGATCATGGTGCAAGGCGACGGTGACCATGACTTTGCACTGGTGGATCATACGCTGAAGCGACGGTGGTATTAACCTCTACACAGGCGTCTCGGCCGTCGATCCGAGAGTGAATCCGCACCGCTGATAGTCGGGTCGAAGTACAAGGCGACGATGCTGGTGACCACTACACAGGCGGTTGATGTTCCCACACGACGGTTTTGATGGCCTCAACACAGTCGGATCATTTGTCAATGCGGCGGTGTTATTGTACATCCACAACCCGGTCGTGCTCAATGCGATTGAAGTAAGGACCTAATCACGGACGGATCATAAGCCAATCGGCGGTGTTAGTGTACACCGCAGTCGGTCCCAAATGGAGATGGTGAATGCCATGACCATCACTGTCGATAGCTTACTGGCGAGGCCGAAATTGGACTACGATGTGGGTTACGACGCGGCTGTAAAAGGTGCGAGTGTAGTAGTGATAGTTTTGTGTGTTGTCGACAACTAACAAAATTAAGTCTATATGTGTTTTCACGGGCTAGCTCATTTACTACATCCTAATGTGCAACCTCTCAACACTTAAGGTTGCAGTTATAAACACAATCTGGCTTCTCACCATGCCAGAAGACCGAGCCAACGAGTGTGTAGTCTCTAGTGGGATCAAACTCTTTCTGGGGAAGTGGTAGTGCGTGACTGCCATTGTTTTCCCTTTTCCTTCCGGTGGGCCGGCGTGGTGAGTGACTGCCTTTGTTCATGTGGAAGACAAAGTAAACCCAAGAGTAGTTGTCAAGTCGATCAGGCGAAGGAGATGGAGACGGGGCTCCTCACGGTGTGCTTGTCAGACACCCACCGGAGCGAGCCCTCCACAATCTTGGCGTCAGTGCTCTGCCCCCGCCACACGGAGACCGTGAAGTTCTGAGCCTGGTTCACCTCGGTGAACTGCAGCGAGCTCGGAGTGACCTGCACCTGCACAGAGGCTGGCAGGTCGACGTGGGGGTAGTAGACCGCTGGCGCCTCCCCGACATTCTTCACCGTGCGGCTCACCACGACCGGAGCCGTGGGGTTCGTCGTGGACGGGAGCGTGACCGTGATGGATGGGTAGTTGAGCATGCGGTCCGGGATCACCGTGATGGTCGAGCAGTCGATCGAGCGGCGCGCGATCACCGACACCTCCTTGCTCGTGTACATGCCGCAGAGGAAGCCGATGTACTCGGCGGGCGCGATGTCGTAGACGAGGCCAGGATCGAGGGCCTTGTCGGGGTTCACCTGGCCGGCGCCTGTGGCGAACAAGTTGGCCGGCACGTACTGCTCGTCCACTATTGGTTTCCCCGATCTGTCGTCGGGGTCAGCGGTCGTCATGATGGCGGACTTGATCGCTGACGGCGACCAGTCCGGGTACTTACTCTTGATCAGCGCGGCGATGGCGCTGAGGTGCGGCGTGGACATGGACGTGCCGGATTCCAAGTTGAACGTCGGCTCTGTGGACGGAGGGCCAACCCGGAATGGCCACGCCGCGAGCACGCTCACGCCGGGGCCAGTGATGTCAGGCTTCAGGATGCCGGGGTTCTGGATGCTGGGCCCGCGCGAGGAGAACGAGGTGATAGCCGGTGCCGGCGACGTGCCAAGCACGGTGCCCTTGAAGATGATCTGCGCCACCGGGTTCGCCGTGGAGTTGATGTACTCCTTGATGGCAACGCCGGCGACGTAGCTGACGTGCGAGGCAGGGAGCACGTGCGCCTCGGCGCTGGTGCTGTACCCGTCTTTGAACTCGTTCGCGATAATCATGCCGAACCCACCGGCTCTCTTCACCTCGGCACCTTTGTCAAGCCTCTCGACGATGCCACGGTCGCAGAGCACGATCTTGCCCTTGACGTCGAAGCCGTCCAGTGAGCTGTTGAAGCAGAAATTGGCGTCGGGCGTTGAAATGGCGCCCGCGTAGACCAACGGGTAGGTGACGGTCGTCGAGATGTTGGGCTGGAAAAGCGACTCGCTTTCGAATGTCGAGCCGTTTCCGAGGCGCACTTGGGCAGCGATCAGACGGTCCATGGTGCCCGCCGCGACTGTGAGCATCCACGGCGCGTCGTTGGACAGCGTGCCCCTTGGGCCGTCGTTGCCAGCTGCCAAGCTGACAAAGACGCCCTTCTCAACGGCCGCAAACGTGCCAATTGCGATGCTGTCTTTGTAGAACGGCCTTGGCGGCCCGCCAAGGGACATGGAGATAACGTCACAGCCATCACCGACGGCCGCGTCGATGCCGGCGAGGATGTCGGCACTGGTGCAATCGTCGCCACACACTTGTACATGGCGACGTGCGCGCGTGGCGCCATGCTGGAAGCAGTGACGGCGGCCTGGCCGAGCACGTGGGCGCCCGGCACGACGGCTCCCGCCGCGGTACTCGACGTGTGCGTGCCGTGCCCGTTGTGGTCGAGCGGGGACGGGTCCGACTCGAAAGAACGTGCGCCGATGAGCTTGTTGTTGCACGCCGAGACGTTGAAGTTGCAGCGGCCCTTCCACTTGGCCTGCGGCGGCGGCATGCCGTCGCCGCTGAAGGAGGGGTGGAAGGGATAGATGCCGCTGTCGAGCATGCCGATGATGACGCCCTCGCCGAACCCGGAGGTGTAGTTCCTCCCGCTCTGCGGCAGCTCCAGCCCAAGGAACTGCGGCGTGTGCGTCGTCAGCAGCTGGTATACCTGGTTCGGCAGAGCCGTGACGAACCCGGGCATGGCGGACAGCGCGTCGAGCTCCTGCTCCGTCAGCCGAGCAGCGAAGCCGCTGGCGACGTGGTGATACGAGTGGACGAGCCGCTCATCCTCTGGAAGGAACGTCTTGTACCATGCCGTTCGGTCGTCGGTCGTGCCGAACACGTGGCTCTCGTGCGGATGCACGTGGACAATGAACGTGCGGAGCTCATCGCCGGACACCGCGGCGACGACTGCAAGGAGAAGGATGGGGAGCAACGAGAGCTTTAAGCTTCCCATGGCTGGGTTGCTGTGAGCCAGTGTGTGAGCGTGCATGGACTTTTTATAAGACCTAGGCGCTCGTTTTTGTTTGATTATTAAAGGTTCCATGCGTTAGATTAGCGTTCTTGTCGCTGTTAAGGAAAGCCGCAGACGTACGGCGTTGTTATGGCCGGGGCACGGAGCTTCGGAGCCGTGCCAATGTTGGGAGGTGTTTGCAAGGACCAGAGGGTTGAGTTTACGATATGGACATGGAAGATTGCTTGGGAATTGCCGTGTCGCGTTAGAGAGGATGACTGTTTGCGCGCAGCAACGGGCCTGAGGAGTTGTTCGTGGATAGCACAGAGCAAGAGGGCAACTGGTAGATTTCTGGGGAATCACGGCTCTTGACCAAGGTCCGAGAACAAGCAACTACCGTGTATCGCTACCCCCAATTCCATTTTCACGGACGCTCACCCATTCCGAATCCAGCGAACGATACGTCATCCACTTACGACCAACCTTATCTCTTATTTTTCTTTTCCCTTCCCACCTTACGTGTTCCTTCCATCACATTGCGAGACTCAAAGACCGCTTCTGGAATCCTAAACTTCTTTTTCTTCTACCACTCGAATCGAGCGATTCCGTGAGTGTAGATCTGGCTCATTCCGCGGCATGCGGACACTGGCCGGATGTTTCTTTTTTTCGTTTCTTTTTTCTACTTTTTTTTAACCTTTTTTCACTTCTTCTCAACTAGTTTAAGTCATGAGCAATTTTTTATAAGATGTTGAACAACACTAACTTATGTGTGTATAAGTTATGTTATTTGTATAATTTATGTAAAATTTTGTTGTAAAAGTTATGTTGAAAAAAATGTTATATACAAGTTATGCGTATAACTTTGTCATGTAGTAAGTTATAAGTATAAGTTATGCTTATAACTTTGTCATAGAGTAAGTTATATTTATAAGTTATGCGCATAACTTTATCACGTAGTAAGTTATATGTTTAAGTTATGCTATTTTTTCTTTTTATGTTTCTTTTTTCTACCATTTTTTACTTTTTTCACTTCTTCTCAACTAGTTTAAGTTGTGTGCATTTTTTTATAAAATGGTGAACAACAATTACTTATGTGTATAAGTTATGTTATTTGTATAATTCAATTATGTAGGAGTAAAATCGTGTTGTAAAAGTTATGTTGAAAAAATGTTATACGTACAAGTTATGCGTATAACTCCATGTAGTAAGTTATACATATAAGTTATGTGCATAGCTTTGTCGTACAAAGTTATATGTATAAGTTATGCACGCGTCAAATGGAAACTGAGTGTCTGAGCGTGCAACCGAGCGCGTGAAAAAGAAAGAGAAACGCGCATGCGAGGTTAGCTAAAAAAAGAAAACCTGTAGAAATTAAATTTTTTCCTAAGAAGAAAGTCGTGGGAGCTGTCAGATGATCGTTCGCTAATTTCAAATATGGTGAGCGCTCGCAAATTAGTGGCGTCGATCACAACATGTGTCATTGTGAGCCTCGGCGTTTCGTCGATTGCAACAACGAGCGATGAAATCGGCACGGAGACTGCATCTGCATTCAAACACCAAAGGGGTGATTTCGTATGTCCTGCTAGGTGTCAGTGTTGTTTTACTAGTATTTTCGGACATGCAACTTGCTAGTAATTTGCTTCTGTTGTGAGAAATATTACACGCCAAATCAAGAATTAAAAAAGCACAAAACGCAAGCTTATCGATTTCCAATTGTGTACAACTTGAGAACATCTCCTCTAACAGTATGGAGAGTCTATTATATTCTAGAGTTCATTTCAGTGTCATTGCACGAATTATATGGTGTTTGGTCTGATGAACCATCTCATTCTAGATGAAGATGGTGTGTCATGAGTCCATCTATGAAAATTTAATGGAATAATGAATTCAGTTCTAATGCTTATACTAATTATTAACTTGTAGAAGATAATGTAGCAACTGAAGAACACGTTTTATCCCCTCCTCCTCCTCCTCCCCCCCCAAAAAAAAAAAAAAAAGTGATAAGAGATAAGATGATGAACTACCCAAATTTTCAAACCAAACACCTAACTGCAAGGTACCCATTACAGATGTACGTTTAGGATATCATTATCGAAATAAAATTAATAAAAAACACCTAGCACTACCGATATACATTTCAGGATATTCTGGATATATATTTTTCAAAAAAAAGGATCTCGTCGATGTAGTATTATTCTATAAGTCATACAAAAGCTAGAGAAAATTTTCTATATGGCCCTCTTAAAACTCAGCCTTCCCTCCTTGATCTTGGAACTTTTGAACTTACCTATGTGACCTCAAATCCATCTTATGTTCCTTTTTTTGGTTTTTAGTCAGTTTAGCCATTTAACAGTGTTAACTATGTGTGAAAGAAATGAAAATAATGCTCAAATAAATGAAACATGTGCAAACTACAAGCATCTAAAAAAATGCAGTAAAATTTTGAACTCTATACCTTCAATAACGTTACTTTTGCGCCCAAGGATAAAATGGATTTTCCGTCTCCCACTTAACACTGTTACATGGTTAAACTAACGGAAAGGCCAAAAAAGAAATGAAAGATAGATTTGAGGCCATATAGAAGTTCAAAAGTTCCAAGGCCAAGGAAGGAAGCCTGAGTTTTAAGAGGGCCATATAGAGAATTTTCTCCAAAAGCCATCGTTTCAATCAACAACTATTAAACAAAGCGCAAGGAGCAAAATGACAAATTAGAGCCTTCTACAACAGTATAATTGAACACGGTTTAGCAAAAATCATCAACTGTTTCAAGATAATTTAAACTGTTAAAAACCACTTTCTAACTCAGGTATGGAGACAATTAAAACGGTTTTAAGAGTTGAGGGAGGAAAGTTACCTAGTTTTAGAGTTCCGAGAGAAAACCTTGAGTAAACCCAATAATTTAAAAAATAGCTGAGGAATTTTTGCAAGTTTAACAATGTACATTCTTGACGCTGTTAAACGTTGTGGTTCCACCATTAACAATGTAGATTAATTCTTATTTTATTGCATGACTACCGTTGGCCTCAAGCTTTGGGGCAAAGCCTGGTACGAAAACCAAATGTATCCTCATTGATGACCAATTATGGTTTTGCCGATTTTCATTATAACATGATTAATTGAACACGTCTTCTCTTTTGATTCTGTTCATTTTAAACCACCACTATGATACGCAATTTAAACTTAGTTACCACTTGACGAGTCATTCTCTTCTACTGTTGTGACTTTGTGAGGGGACAAGCCTAGACTATACCTATAAGCATCTACCAAGAACAAGATTATATATAAGAAAGAATAATTTGTATTGTTTTTTTTTTCTACGTTAGAACTTGCATTTTCCACAATATGGATAGACCCTATTTCTTGTATGGGATCTTTATCTTCTTTGATTTTCAATATTTCATTTTTGACATTTCGAATTGAATTATGTTTCTAATTATCATTACATTTAATATCATCAGAATTTCAATTTTAAACGTGTTTAAGTCAATTTTAAACTCTTAAGAGCATTACATATATATGAGAATGGGGTGGTGCTTTATGTTTATTTAATACTAGCAATGAAAAGATGGGTGATAGAGAAATATATATTCTATGAGTTTTTAGGTTCAAACTTTTACGTGGTGGCACTGTGGCAGTAATAGATAATTTATTAACATTATATATTGGCATTTTGATTTTATTTTTGATTAATATGGAAATCTTTAGGCCTTGGATTATTTACTTAAATATTTTTTGAGGAGTTTTTAGTTAAATATTAAGATGATAAATTATGGGACAAACCAAAGGTGGAACTTTATTTTGACTTTAGGTCCTAGCCTATGCGGCCTACACCCGAGCCATGTTGGGTAAGACAAATGGACCACCATGATGAAAACCTTTTCTTGCTATGGGTCGGTCCGGTCTTGTTTTGACCAGGTCAAGATTCAACAATGGCCAATTTAATGTTGCCATACATACTACCGGTATGCAAGTAGGCTAGCCCACGAACGTGCATATAGTTTTGTGCGCTGTCGACAATCCACATAATTTAAGTCTATATGTGTGTTCGCGGGCCAGCTCATTTACTGCATCCATAGACATTAGATGTGCAACCTCTCAACTCTTGAGGTAGCAGTTGTAAATACAATTTGGCTTCTCAGTTCTCAAAGAGTCAGAAGACCGAGCTAACAAGTGTCTAGTCTCTAGTGGGATCAAACTCTTTCTGGGGGAAATGGTAGTGTGTGACTACCATTGTTTTTTTCCTTCGGGGTGGGCCGGTGTGGTGAGTGAGTGCCGGTGTTCATGTGGAAGGTCAAAGTAAACCCAGGATTTTTTTTTGAAAGAACAAGAGGGGCAGGCGAAGGTGAGGGTGTTTTGGTGGAGAGTGGTGAATGGTTTTCTTCCTAGCCGTGGTGAGCCACCGAAGACATATTGAGGCTATACTTTTTTGGGAAGTCTGTGGGGCAGACGATGAATCGATCAAGCATGCCTTGTTGGATTGTACGGTGGCTAGAGCCTTTTGGGAGCAGGTAAAAGCTTTTACGGGAGTGAAGATACCCGTGCTGCAACCAATAATTTGGGCTCGGGACATTGTGGATCCAGATGTGATTGCAGCTATAGATGTCCATGCAGCCCGTAGCACGACGGCTCGGCACGAAGCCCGCACTTTTGGCCCGCCTCGAGCCTGGCCCGGTCCAGTGCCGTGTAGGCCCGGGCTGGCACGGCCCGGAGTAGCAGGTCGTGCCTGGGCCTTACCCCAGGCACGAGGTGCCAGCCCAGCACAGCCTGGCCTACAACAGCTGGCCCGGTAGCAAGCTAATTCATCTACGGCCCAACAACTCACCATAGCCCAACATCTTATCTCTAACCGTAGGCCTGCTCATTGAGTCATTGACTACCTCGGCCATGATACGGATATCCCATTCCCCACCGTGACTCTCGAGTCCACTCCTCCTTCCCCGCTGCGCCGCACGAACTCGCTCGCCCCATCTCGCGCTCCTCTTCTTCCTTCGCTTGGCTGCCCG